CCTGCTCAAGGAGTACCACGTGGACGGCGTCGATGCCGCGCAGATCACCAACATCGTCCGTGGCTCCCTCAACCTGGTGCCCATCGCCGGCGCCATCCTCTCCGACTCCTACCTAGGCTGCTTCCCCGTCATCCTCGCGGGAGCGGCCATCAACCTTCTGGTCTGAACCCTACCCAAAATATAACAAAATGGTCCACGTTACAGTTTTTTTTTTTTTTGACAGAATGGTCCACGTTACAGTTCAAAGTATATATGGTGGGAAACACATCTTATAACTAGGCCCGCTGCTCCTGAAATTGCTTGGAATATATTTCAATAAGGTTTGGTTATATGAACATTAATATTTAAATTGATACTCCCTCCGTTTCATAATATAAGAACGCTTTTCAAGCTATGTTAACTTGAAAAACGTTCTTATATTATGGGACAGAGGGAGTATAATATAAAAACCTAAAATACATAAGGTAATTCTAAAATTAAAAATATTTATTTAATATAAGAAAATTAATATAATTATATATATTTATTGAATATAAGTAACATAATATATAATTAAAATATTTAGCCTTTTTGCATGGATGATTGTATGTTAAGGGGTGCCCTTGACATGGCATAGTTAAATGTTGAGATAGTGTTTTTAGTGGGATCACCTACTTAGTTATAGTATAGGAACATGTAAATGGATATTTTGATTAATATATAAGTAGAAAAATCAAAATGCATATGATTGTTGTATTATAATAAAATATTAATTGTATATAAGTAACATAATATGATTAAAACATTGAGGAATTTTCAAGCGTGGTCAGAACAAAATTGAAAATACATATGATTACTGTATAATTATAAAATATTAACTAAATATAACTGACATAATTAATATGATGAAAACATTTAAGTCTTCTTCGATGCATTGTTGCACATGTTTAGATGGGCCTTTGAGGTGGCATAGTTACATGCTAAGATAAATATCTTAGTGGGAAATCACCTATTTAATTAGTTATATATGATGTTCCTATATACTCTTTCTGCACTTGTAGAAAACAGGGCATTATTTCCGGTTTCAAAGGGCCTTTAGTCCCAGTTCTGCAACCGAGACTAAGCAACCGGGACTAAAGGCCCCCACTTTTAGTCCCGGCTGTGTTACGAACCGGGACTAAAGGAGATCCACGTGGCCGATGTGGTCGCCCAGGCTGGAGGACCTTTAGTCCAGGTTGGTGTCTGGAACCGGGACTAAAGGTCCCAGCCGCTGCCAAGGCCCGGCCGGCGTCCTAGCCGCTCGAACCGGAACTGATGCTCACATTAGTCCTGCTTCGTAACACGACCGAGACTATTGCTCTGATCTGGACAGAACCAAAGCCTTGTTTTCTACTAGTGCTAGTGCGTCGCTATGCGTAATTACTTTTTAGTTTGAGTAATTTGCCATAGGATTCTCATCTTATTTTCCCCGCTAATAAAAGTAACAAATTGTTTAATGTATACCACCATTATTCAAATGGTTCTATGTCGAGAAAAGCATTCCGTGATCTGTATCAAAATAAGCATATGAATTATGCATGCATGATCACTTTGCACTTATCTGGCGATAATAGAAATACCAACCATATCTCATGCTCCCCACATGAAGGAAAGAAACCTCTCTTCAATTCAACTACCTCAATCCATATTATGATCCTTTCATATCCAAAAGTGAATAAAATATTTCCAGATTGTTTATAGTGATCGCTGCATCATTTTTCTCCGTTGAAAACACATATGTGCAAATACTTAACCGTGTGAGAAATAACTAAATCTTAGCCAAAATTAATTTTCACGGTGCCAGCATTTTGTTTATATGTTGGCAACATGAAAATAAATCATTGTTTACCATTGTCGACATCTAATCATGACAATAACGAAACATGACTGCACTATACCTTTAAATGCTCGCGATGCCAACAATCCCTTATCACGATAAATTAATCCAACAATCCATAGATCAACCTACTTAGGTCTTACTCCGTTTATAAGATTTTGGAGGATTCCTATGCGATTTTGACCCTTAGGAAGCTTTTCCTATGTATTTCATTCGTTTCATATGAATAAAATAAAAGTACTAGATTGCATGGAATTTTGTCCATGTTGCGCCAATACCTAAGGATTATTAGCATTACGTGAGATCACATGGAAAATTCCTAAGGATTTGAGTGGATAGGGCACCCAAATTATTTATCCTTTTTCCTATTCTTTCATTTGGAAATAATGTAAACGGAATGAGCCCTTAGTTATTTTCCGCATTCTCTGCCAATTTACGCAAAAGAAGAATTGAAGCACTTGAGCCAGGCAGTCTATGGCAAAATATCATATTTTGTTAATATTTTTGACAATGTGTTATTGTGCAGTCTTTTGTGCTGTTCACGCTCACCGCAGCGCTGCCATCCTTGCGGCCGCCACACTGCACATCACTGTCGGCCAAGTGTCAGCAAGCATCCCCGGGGCAGCTCGCCGTGTTGTACGGTGCCATCTGCCTTCTCGCCATTGGCGCTGGCGGGACACGTTTCAACATCTCGACGATGGGTGCGGACCAGTTCGAAAGCACGAGCGACAAGGACACCTTCTTCAACTGGTACATGGTCTTCCTCTACACCTCCTTCATGCTTGGCGACACAGCCATCGTCTACATCCAGGACAGCATTTCATGGGCCGTGGGCTTTGGTGTTTGCCTCGCCACTTCGGCGTTGGGCCTGGTCATGCTTCTTCTGGGCGTACGTTACTACCAGATGCCGGCAACAAAGGGCAACCCATACACAGAGCTGGCTCGCGTCATTGTTGCTTCCGTGCGCAAGGTTGGCATCAAAGTCGGCGGCGTACACGGCAGTGTGCAGTACAACGTCGGTGCCGGCGCCCTTGTGGACTCGGCCGCTGACGAGGCACCAAGCAAAAACTTAAGGTAGGCGGCATTCGACAGCTGCTTTCCAAACAGGACACCGGATTGGTGAATCATTCACTGGATCTTGTTTTTGTAGATTTCTGAATCGAGCCGCCATGATCACTGCAAGTGACGACAGCTCCAGGTCCGGAGATGGATCAGGTGGTGCGTGGCGGCTGTGCACAGTGCAGCAGGTGGAGGGCCTCAAGGCCCTCCTCAGCATCATCCCGGTGTGGTCATCCGGTATACTGTTGTTCATGTCGATCGGCGTGATGATCGGCATGATCGTCCTGCAGGCGCTCGCTATGGACCGCTCCGTTGGACCACACTTCAGCATCCCGGCGGGGTCGGTCGCCGTCAGCTGTCGCGTCTCGTTCATCTTGGCCACCCTGGTCCTGGACCGTGTTGTATTCCCTCTTTGGCGCAGGATCACCGGTGGCACGCCACCGACACCGCTGCAGCGCGTGGGCATCGGCCACGTTTTAAATGTCACTGCCATGGTCGCTGCCGCACTGGTGGAGCGCCGGAGGCTTGCGCAACCTGGCGTGCCCATGTCCGTGATGTGGCTCCTGTTCCCGCTGGGCATCGTCGGGGTCGGGGAGGCCCTGCACTTCCCTGGGAGCATGGCTTTCTACTACCAGGAATTTCCCAACACGCTGCGGAGCCTGGCTACGGCCATGGCTCCGATGCTCGTAGCGTTGGGATTCTTCTCGAGCACCATGTTTATGGACGTGGTGACGCGGATCACGGCGTGGCTGCCGGAGAACATAGACCACGGGAGGCTGGACAACGTATACTGGACGCTTGCGGCTTCGGGGACACTCAACCTTGCATATTTCCTCGCCTGCGCCAGGCGATACAAGTACCACAACCGAGCGGCAACATAGACAACATTATCATGTGCGTGGGTTGTTTGTCTACGAAATTGACAAGGGCTACCTCTTCGTGTGAGTTGCACCTTCCTACTTCGCAACAAAGTGAACAAAATGGATGGAACATCATAGCAAGGAAGAACTATCTAATAATATGCGCAATGGATATATTTTAGTGTCACGACATAGGCCTGTGTTGATTGATGAGCTCAACCTTACTTTATTACCAAGTGCTTATCAGTTGTTACGATCGGTCCAACGATCAAATGCTCCCCAATAGATATTACAGTGCACATACTTATGCATAGAAAATCCATGTACATACCACCACATAAATAGTCTGGTAAAAGCACGCGCTACCCAAAGTATAGTGTAGATCGTGTTTCCACATGTTGATTGTCGGTGTTTTGAGACGGTTAGTGTTGTTGAGTGATGACATATTTGTTTGGAGTGGGGCATGTGAGCGGCGGACTGATATGGTAAGGCAAGACATGGAGTTTACCTATATTCAGGACCTCCGGGAGGAGGTAAGACCCTACTCCTTCCGTTGGTGGTTGTATTTCTCGAGTTCACGCTGGCGATCAGGAGAATCCTCAGAGAGAAATGTTTCTTAGGTTACAACTTACAAGCCCTCGGCCTGGTGGTGGAGGAGAAGAAGATGGTGGTAGGTGAAATCCTTAGTTCTACGATGATCCAGAATATATATGTTTGATCACTCCAAAAGGTCCCTAGTTTGCCTTATATACTTGGTCAAGCTAGGGTTACATGGCTCGGGGCAGACCATTGGTGGGTTGGTTCCCTTTGGTCGCATCGAACCATGTCGTACGATGTTGTCTTGTCACTTCCGTGCTTGCAAGTTGATGCCTTCGTTGACCTACAACTGGGCTCGAGAAGCTGACTCGACACCTGGCCACGAATGCATTGAGTATCCTTCCTAGTTGGTGCACCCGTGTGCCACATCCTCATAAGTAGCCATTGAGTGCCGCACAACCCACCTGCCAGAAGGTTATACGGGACTTGTTAAGTCTCTTTGCGTCTAGCGGGAAGCTACCCAAGAAGGAATTTCAGTGGTTGAATCATGGGGGCAGCATCCGGTCACATGGCCATGGGAAAATATTCCCACGATCTCGACTACAATGATGGACGGATCGTTGAAGGGGAATCGTGTGCCACATGACGCTGACCGAGGGTTGAGGAATCGAGACACCGCTGACATTATTGTTTGCCATGTCCCAGTCTTGATCGGTCAGTCTTGACTGGCAAATGGCATTCTGAACAAAGGGACGTTTCGGCCTCCCCGTGCCTATAAGATTCTTGCCGCTCTCATCTCCTAAACCCATGCTCCTCTCATCTCCTTTCTCGTGATTCCCTTGTCTGGTGCTGCTCACATGTCACTGAGAGAGAATCGTGAATTCTCCCTGCCCGCCTTGCCGGTGTCCAGGACTTACTGCGTCATCAGTGCTTTCGTCATGGTGTCTCCCTCCTGTGTTCCCTTGGGTACCTCTTCCAATTCACCAACATCCTCCTCAACACCGATCTCGCCGGAGGACCAATCGGATCCCTCCATGGGGGGAGGATCCGTAAGTATGCACGGATGCGGTTGAGAGGAGGAGGAGGAGCATGAGTCATAGACATAGTAATAGCCTTATACCCATATTTTAGGGATCAAGATGAACCGTATTACCCGGTTTGATCACAAAATTATAATTTGTAGCTCCTTGCCCGGTTTGATTACAAAATTATAATTCATAGCTCCCTTGAACTGAGGAACCAGTTTTTTTTTGTATGGGAGTGAAAACATGGATAAGAGATGAAGTGAATTATGAAGAAATATAAGCAAAATAAATACATCATGAAAATAAAATAAAAATGTATTTTAGCTTGTCAACCAATCATAAAAACATCCACAACGTCAATAATTCACGTGGCACTCCAGATATAACTTGACCAAATAACCACGGCACACGTATGTAACAGTACATCAATGGAAAGAATATACACGCCACGCCTCAGTGCACACCACCGGCGTCGTGCTTGTGGTTGTGGCCGCCGACGCCGGCGTGCTTGTGGAGGCGGTGCTCCATGGCGGCCTCGCGGTGCGCGACCTTCTCCCGGTGCAGCTGCGCCTCGGCCGCGGCGACCTTGGCCCTGCCGCGCTCGTGCGCCAGCTTCCGCTCGTCGTGCGACCTCGACGTCGCAGCCTCCACCTTCTCCGCCAGCTTGGCCCACGCTATCTTCGCCTTGGCCCTCAGCGCGCTCGAGCCATCCTTCACCTTCACCTTGGCTTGCTGCATCTTGTTGGTGATCCTTGTGGTTTTTTTGGATAGTCTTCCTGCAACCACCAGTTGTCTAGCTAGCTTGAGCTTCTTCTTCCTCTTTGTTTTCTTCTGGATTAGGGTGAGTTTTTATATAGGCGGAGTGGCGGTCCAGGTGGGTGAACCGTCGTGGCAAGGGTGACGGGTGAGAGGTTGCTGTTGAGAGGTCGGCCGACAGGGACCTGCTGTCGGTCGACATGGAGGAAATAAAAAATGAAAGGACGACATAGATGCATGCAAACTGCAAAGCCACTTCACTAGCGGTGAGACATGATAACGTGGCAAGCTGTTAATCAAAGTGGATTTGGCCGTAATGACATCCAAAGTCTAAAAATACTAGAAGATTCTTGGGAAGTTTTTCAACTAGCAAAAAATAGTTGAACAAAACAACGGAGCAAACAAACAAAATGCTAAACATCGTGTGGAATTTTTTCAAATTTATTAGTTGAAACATTGGCATTTAACAGATGGTGACAAAATGCCATTGCTAGAGATTGGAGAGAATGAAAACAAAGAGAGGATAGAAAAGCGAAAATTCAATTTGGTGCCGGGCTGGTGTGCACCTGGTGAACAGTAAAAATCATAAAAATAAAAATAAACAGATTTTTTTTCGTGGTGCAAGATACTCAAAAGCGTGATGTCCGTGCAAAATTGCAGGGTGTTTGTACATTCAAGGTGCTCATGCAAAAAAAGAGAAAAAATTGGGTGTCAAGAGTGTTGCTTTCAAAAGTTAAACTGTTCTTTATTAAAATTAAGCGGCTAAAAACAACAGAGAGGAAAGAAAAGGCCAGCTGAAAGCGCAAGTAGTATACTCGAAATCGAACGGCCGAATAGTACAGTACGCTCAAGCTCTAGCCCTGATATTATCCAGCACAAGGGAGAACGAAGTTCCTCCTCGTCGTCATATGCACGACCAGGACCTTCGATTTGAATTTTTTTTGTCTTGGTGAATTTTCATTGTGTGTTTTGAAAAGTCATATATAATGATTTTTAAACACTAAGTACATATTGATTTTTATAAGATAATAGATTAATAATTTGTAAATACAATGACAAGCATTTTTAAATACAACTATGAGCATTTTTCTGTAAACATTATGAACAAAAAGAACCTAATTAAAGAGAAATTAAGAAAGAAATAATAATAATGAAATAAAAATTGAACAAAGAAACAGGAATAGAAAAAACAAAAACAAAAAAAAGAAGACCGGTCCAGTACCCGGTATCTCGTGGGTGAAGGAACCCACATACTCCAGAGAGGCGACCGTGAGGAAAAGGAAATTTTTTGGCAGGATGAACCACTTGCAGGAGCACCGAAGGTGAGCGCAACTTATAACTCAAAATAAGCGAGATATAGTCGCCACACCGCATCCTCGTCAGGCCCCTCCAACCTAGTTCGATTATGTCAGTCGTCGACCTCTCCCCATTAGCTCCACCATGGACTAGTCTAAGCATAGCACTTTTTGGTCGCCGCTAGCAGGAGAAGGCTAGGTGGACGCATGAGTGGTGAAGTGGTTTGGCGTTGCTAGCACCCAACGTGTTCGAGTTATAGTGCAAAAATCAATGTAGTCCCATACTCCTCATGGAAATAATAGTAGTTCACTACTTGAAATACCCGGTGATCAATTTTGTTTACTAGTGGTGATAAATTTCAATGCAAACTGCTTTCCCTAGGTTTCAAAGAATCAAGGAATCAGTACATTTACAAGCCAGAACAATAGTTAACTTGGCAGCAAAAACCTATTCGCACTAAAATTGTTCTTTAGGAGGTTACTACCGAGGTTCCTGTTTTCTGATATTTTGAACAACAGAATAACACCAGTTTTCTCATCTTTGAAAGGATCAAACAAACATGTTTTATTTACACCGATGCATGCTTGCTCACTTCCGGAAAAAATTAGGGACCTGAGAAAAATGTTCAGTTGTACACAGGGCACCCCTTGACAATGATACCTTTAGCAGTGGGGCAAGAAGCTAGGGGACATCCATCCAAATCATTGCCCCACCAGTTCAAACTAATGTTCGCCAAGCCTAGGCACAAGTAAATTAAGACAGCCATGAACGCCAAACCTGCATCTAGTGCACCTGAGAGCAGATAATTGTGTCGTTCCCATCAGTCTCGTCGATATCTATAGACCATGGTTTTGGGTACCGGGCGGAATATTCGGATACCGCCCGGTTACCGCGTTTCTCGCCACCCCACGAGAAACCTACATACCGAGCGAATTCTTTTGGATTTTTTTGAATTTTTTGAATTTAAACTCTGGCACTTAGGTTAGATACATTAGGAACTCCTGCATAACAGGCAGCGATTTGTGGCTTACTGTTAAGCGTGTCCTTCCTAACTTTTCTGAGGTGTGGCGTACATGTACGACCTAACCACTGCGCCAGGCTGCTGTTGGTGAAAAAATTGAGTCCAGGAATAATCTATATAAGATTTTAAAAAATTGAATTCAAAATTCAAATTCAAATTTCGTCCGAATTTTTTCCGGGATTTAGCGGTTACCGCGGTAACCGAGAATTTCGGTGGCCCGCGAGAAAAAATGTGCACTTGGGATCCAAATCATTGCTATAGACCACATAACCTGACAAAAACCCAACAAGTACCCATGTGGTGTAGTTTACTGCAGTGGCAGGCGGCATCTTGACGGTGCAACCGATCATCACGGGCATGTTAATGAGTAAGATCCAATTCTGGCTGGGGAATGCCTTGTGTGCAAACCATACCAACAGCGGAGCAATGGCACCTCCCAAGAAGAACCAGTTCACTGCCGAGTAAGTTCCCAAGACTCCGAATATTCTGCGCGGGCCAATAATTCCCCATATGACCGACGCCCTTAGGACGTGTATGGAAGGAATTTTCATACAAAAACATGCCCTAATTATCTTTTGCGGGTATACACGTCCTAAGGGCGTGCTTGGATTGGGTGTATCTGAACACACCGGTATTTAACTTACAGGTGTAATTTACCGAGCTGCGAAGGAGTTTCGGCTGGAAATGAACCGGAGGTTCGTATATTTTCTACAAAGGTATTTGAGTGGAAGCGACAATCCAAACGTGCCCTAAATTGTTCGAATGACACCTCATACGTGGTTTGTGGGAGTAAAATCCTCACGTGTTGATTGCCATATGCGACGACTGGCGGGAAAATCCTCACGTGTTGTGACAATCTAACCGAATTACTGAATTTCTTGGAACCGGCAGTGATCCGTGTTCATGACGTAATTTTGACGTGTCATGAAACATGACAGGTAGCTAGCCAGCTACTGGTCTTTGCTCAGCCAAATCAAAGAAACTCTTACGTACTTGCAGTAGTCTAAGAAAAATAATACTCTCTCCGTTCCTAAATATTTGTCTTTTTACAGATTTTAATTGTCTTTATAGAAATTTCGACAAGTGACTACATACGAAACAAAATAAATAAATGTACACTGTAAAATATGTCTATATACATCCGTATATGACAATTCATCTGAAATATCTGAAAAGACAAATATTTAGGAACGGATGGAGTAATAAATAATCATGGCTTGTGAATTAAGCTCAAGCATCAACAGTCAACCCTCTGACCAAGTAGTAGTATTAAGTTGTGTGTAATGTTAGCGGTTAAAACTAATCATGTTGCTTGCCGGAGATATGGGAAGCGTGTACCTGAAGAGGGAGACCTGCACGAGGTTGGACGGCCACCACATGCTCGCCGGCTCCACGAGGTACCGCCGGAATATGCCCGCCCACCCGAACCCGAGCACCTGGGTGGTGAGGACGACGAGGAGGGAGACGAAGAAGGTGAGGTTCTTGCCGTAGAAGACGCGGACGACCGTGACGACATGGATGGCGTAGACGGTGCCGGCGCCGGCGTTGGCGAAGATGGTGATCAGCACGTGCTCCTTCACGTTGAACGGCCCCGGGTTGAGGGTGAACTCGTAGGGCCTGCCAAGGAAGAAGGCGCGCTCCGGCAGCGCCGCCGCCATGAGCCGGCCGAGCGGCACGACGGCGACCTGGGCGGAGATGGCGGTGACTGTGAGCGGCTCCTTGCGGTACCAGAAGAACTGGTTGAGGAAGGAGAGCACGGCGCAGGAGAGGACGCTGAGGACCCACATCCGGAAGGTGAGGACGGGGGTGTCCGGGTCGTCGCCCACGGGAACCGTCAGCGCCACCTGCTCGATCGGCAAGTTCTCCACCTCCTCGTCCAGCTTCGGCGAGCTGCGCGACGTCGACGACGGCACTGCATGGGGAGCAGAGACCGGTTAAAAAAAATTTAAGGGGTAAAGCCAACTTTATTAATCAAACACCACAGTATGTGGGATACGAGTCGGGGGATGAGGCTGGCCAAGCTATACATGACGCCCCAAAACTAAGGATAAAGCAAACTTAGCGAATCTATGTGCATCCATATTGGTTGCACGACCCTCGAAAGAAAAAATTACAATTCAAAAGACCGGTTAAATGGGGAGCTCCTATACCGCGCCTTCAGATGGAGTTCATGAGCATGCAAAAAAAGTTCGCCTATTCAAAAATTAGTTCACCAACTCAAAAAGTTCATTCATTCAAAAACAGTTTACGGATTCAAAAGAAGTTCATCGATTTTGAAAAAAAGTTCATCGATTTTCAAAAAAGTTCATCGATTTTGAAGAAAGTTCATCAAATTTGAAAAAAGTTCACCAATTTTGGAAAAAGTTCACCTAAATTGAAAAAAGTTCATCAATTTTGAAAACAAGTTCATCGATTTTGGAAAAAATTCACCTAAATTGAAAAAAGTTCATCGATTTTGAAAATAAGTTCACCGATTTTGAGAAAAAGTTCATCAATTTTGCAAAAAAGTTCATCAATTTTAAGAAAAACTTTAGAAAATCGTAAAAATTTCATCAAATTGGAAAAATAAGTTCCCCTATTCTGAAAATGGTTCATCAATTTGAAAAAAGTTCACGAGTTTCGAAAAATTCAGTTCATGGATTTATAGAAGAAGTCCATCTATTTG